GTGAACTGGAGCAGAAGTGGTGGCCGCCCTGCCACTCTAGCTCATCAAACTTCTCACGATGCTCCTCCATGCTCGTGCCCCTTTCTGACGGGCATGACCAGGCCAGGGTGACAGAACCATGCCACTAAGATGGCAGACCCATGACCAGCCCATTCCTCAAGGACGGTGTGGAAGAGAGCTTTTCTACCCACCTGGAAACACTTTGGACTGCTACCTGAGGGAATGTAAAGCACTGGGTTGAGACGGTACATTGGGTTCCGTTGAAACTGTACAGCTGGTTCCATTGTAGGGAACATACTCTCTGATGTGAGCCTCCGTGAACCTGAGTGGAGAGTCCTTGCTAAGGGGGAGACAAAACAAAATAGACCATGCACCAGAGGAAGCAGGCTGCTGGGGCCACGTGGCCACCCCTGAGATTCGGAAAGGCATATGAATTTGAAAAGCACTCCATAGGGCCAAGTGAAGAATTCATTTTTTTTGTGGTACCGGGGATTGAACTCACAATCTTGCACTCGCCAGGCAGGCGCTCATGCCACTGGGCTATTTCCCCAACCTGAGTGAGGAATTCTTCTTCCATCAGGATAAACTACAACTAAGACACCTGAGCCTAGAAAAGGAGCAAACTATTTCAAAGGCCACAGAAGCCTTGGTCCGGTCAGATACCACAGGAGCTTCCAAGGAAACATGGTAAGAAGCAGCTTCAGCCAGGGCGTGGTGGCACAAGCCTGTAATCCCAGCGCTCAGGAAGCTGAGGCAGGAGGGACACCATGAGTCTGAGGCCAGCCTGGGCCACACAGTGAGTTGAAGGCCAGGTTGAAATACATAGCAAGACCCTATCTCAAAAAAAAAAGATGAAGAAGGAGCAGCAGCTTTATTACAACACAAGTCAATATGAACAAAAATGCCATAATCAGAACGAAACGTAGGACACTCAGTATCCCAAGAATAATAGTCTATATCCTGAAAATGGATGAGATCTACTAGGGTGTTGACAGATGGCTGCTTCACAGTGGGTTGAGAAAGAGAAGTCAAGGATATCCACAACGTGTTTTCAAAACCTTTTCACTTGGATGGGAAGAGTGAGAATCGCCACCCTCTCTACCCAGGACAAGACACACCCTAACCGCTGAGCACACTCTGGGTCCTGCGTTGGCCAGCCCCTGAGGGTGTGAGCCAGAGAGGTGGCGCTGTGCTCTGCACTGGGGCTGAGGGGACACCCACGGAGAGTCCACTCATGAATCAAGGAGAGGAGACAAAAGACAAGAGAAAATAACTGAATCAGATAGTAAATCCACTAGATTTACAGATGAGCAGGGGAGGAAATGTCCCTAGGAAACGGGACAGTTCCTTGGAGGAGTGCAGGGCATGCTCGGAGGGAGGCCCGCGCCGGGGCTCCCAGGTGCAGCCCAGATGCACACACCTGTGCGCGGTGTGAGGCAGAGAGGAGAAGGAAATGAGGTCGCTGCGACCAGGAGTACCGTGTTGGTCTCATGGGCCACTGGGAAGGCTACATTTCCAGCAGAGGAGAAATGGAATCGCTGGTGGGCTGTTTTGGTTTTTTTTTTGTGGTAGCAGGGATCGAACTCATGAGCTCACGTTTGCTAGGCAGGCGCTGTGCCACTGAGCTGCATTCCCGGCCTCGCTGGTGGGTTTGGAACAGAGGAGCCCGTGGGTGCTGGGGCTTGAGCCCAGGCCCTCACACGTGATCCATCCGCCCTCTCCCACGGAGCACCACGCCCAGCCACGTTCCTCCTGCTTCACAGGATCCCGGCTCGTGTGTGGACTGGGAGCATGCGGGGAGGCAGGGAGCAAGCAAAGATTAGGGTGCATGGGTCCAAAATGGCAGCCAGGGTGGTGGGAAGTAGATTCTGAGTTACGTGTTGAAGGCAGAACCAACTGGAATTCCCTGATCCATTGGATGTGGGCTGGAAATAGGGTTACAAGGTTTTTGGACTGACTGTCTGAAGGATACCAGACTGGAAGAGTGGAGCTTGGGCGAAGCCCAGCAGCTGTGCTTGGGGCATAGTGAGGTTGAGAGGTCTGTTAGGAATCTAGCTTAATTACCGTCTCCTCACTGGGACAGAACACCTGACACCTGCGACCTCAAGGAGCTACCCTTTTGTTTTTCGTTTTTCGTTGTTTTTTTTTTGTTTTGTTTTGTTTTTCTCCAGTACTGGGAATCGAACTCACAACTTGCGCTTGCCAAGCAGGAGCTGTGCCGCTGAGCTAAAGCCCCAGCCCCTCAAGGAGGTATCCTTTATTTTGACTAACATTTCAGTCCAGAGCCGGCTGGCTCCAAGGCAGGACTGCAAGGCAGAGGGGCAAACCAGGGAAGAAGCTGCTTGTGTCTGTTTACATCATGGGGCAGGCAGACAGAGACAGCATGGGAGGCAGAGGGAGGAGACAGAGAAATCCATGGTCTCCTCCAGCGTGACCCCCTCTTCCAACCAGGCTCCACCTCCTAAGAATAGGTCAGCTATACGCCCCATAATCCAAACATCTTCCACAGATCTAACCTGTCATTACGTGAGGCTTTGGGGGACATCTAGCTCTAAGCCATAACATTCCACTCCTGCCCCCCAAAAGGCTCATATGCACATGCAAATACATTTAGTCCATCTCTAAGCGTCACCAAAGTGCTAACACCTCCAGCATCGTTTTTGTTTGTTTGTTTTGGGTTTTTGTTTGTTTGGGGTCTCACTATGTAGTTTAGGCTGGCCTTGAACTCAAGATGATCCTCCTGCCTCAGCCTCGTGAGTGCTGGGATTACAGGTGTGCATCACCACACCCAGCAAGTTCTAGCATTATTGAAAAATCCAAGTCTGAAGTCTCCTTTGAGACTTAAGGCAAACTCTGAACTGTAAGCCCCTGTAAAAATCAAAAAGAAGTTAAACACTAGCAACTTAGAAGAGGGAGAAGGAAAGGAAGGGGACCAAAGCAAAACTGAAAACCAGAAGGATGAATATTAAACCCTGTAGCTCTTCGCTGAGCACCCAGGCCAAGTTGTGCCACAATGTGAACTCTGAAGGAATTGGGCAGCCCCACCCCTAAGGTACTGCCAGTGCTTGTATCCCTCATGGCCTCTCTCTGGGGCTGGTTTGCTCACTCCTTGTGCCTTTCCTCAGATGCTCCACATTCCTGGCTTTTCCAAGATCCTGGGGTGTTCACTGCACCTTTGGCTCCACACCCATATCTTCACACACTGCCCTCTTAGGGATACACTGCCTGGGCTCTTTCACCTTCTGAAATCTGAATGGAAGGCTTCTTCATCCTACCCTCTTCCAACCAGTCTTACATTCTGTATGCACCTAGAACCGGCACCATGTGGGTGATGTCAGGGTCTGCTGCCACCTTGGTAGCCAGGCCACCTTGACTTATGGCTGCAGAGGCCTTTGAGTTCCCTGATGGCTGAGCATTGTGAAAACAATCCCCTGAGTGGCCATTCTTGAGCTCAGGTGCCCTGGGGCTCTCTTCTCAAAGCAGTCTTTCATTTTGCAGGCCAAAGGACAGGGTCTTGCTCTGTCCTGACATGCCCTTGGGCCATTTTTCCTACTTTCCTGTTATAAAATACTTGGCTTTTTTTCAATGCTAATCTTTTCAGCAGCTATGCTCTTCTTTGCTCCATCTTCGCCACAACTTTTTTTGGTAAAACTGAAAACTTAAAAAAAAAAAAAAAAATCACTCAGCTATGCCATTTGCTCTTGATTCTCAATGTAGAGCTGGCTAAAAGCCCCCAAAGTATCCATGGTACAGACTGAATGTTGGGCTGCCTTGAAATTTCCTTTGCTAGATTAATTAGTTCACCACCCTTAATCTCAGTTTCCTGAAATCTCAGGACAGGAGCAAAATATAGATGAATTTTCTGCCAGAGGTTACCAACGTGGCCTGGAGTCCAACTGCCAATGGAGTCTTTCTTCTCACCTGAGCCTAATCCTTACTGTCTGCTTTCTTCTTAACGTTCTGGTCTTCTGCCCTCTCAGGCTCTCTCATCAAGCTTAGCTTACAGTGTTCTAGGACTTCTCCAGCTGGTATCTCCAAACGCTTCCAAATTCCTCCTGCAGAACAGTTCCAAAGACTTCCAAACCGCATAGTCAAGAACAGTCCCAGAGATATCCCACTCCTGATATCAAAATCTGTCTTAGTCATTTTTCTCATTGCTGGAACAAAAGACTCAGTAATACCCACAATGTAAAGGAGGAGAGGTTTGACTCATGACTGGCAGAGGTTTCAGGCTGTAGTTGGCTGGCTCCTAGGCAGGATGGCTCAACACCTCCTAACAGCAAGTCAGCCCAATGTCCCATGATCCAATCACCTTCCAAGGGTCTGGCCTAAGATCAGTGAGGCTTTAGGGGGACATCTAGGCATAAAGCACAACAATGTCGAAAGGGCAGTGTCGAGTAAAAAGTTTGTTTATGTGGATCTCCAGTTCAGCAGGAAAGTCTTGGATGAAGGTACAAATTTAGAAGTTATCTAAGTATGAATGGTGTTTAAGCCTCAAGATTCAATGAGATCACTCTAGGAGCGAGTAGAGTATGGTTTCCCAGAAGCCACACACAGAAGGTGTTTCCAGGAGAAAGCGACAGAGACTTAGTCAAGCACAGCGAGAGGGCAAGTGAAAGAGGAGCAGGGAAGAACCCCGTGTGAGGGTCAGTATTGGCCCTGGCAAGGGCTGTGTGGGTGAAGGAGTCTGGAAAAAGCCTAAGTAGACCAGGTGGAAGGGCAAAGTGGAGGAGAGGCATTGGAGACTGTGACAACAGGCAACTTTGCAAGTTTTGCTGTTAAGGAGAACAAAAAATGGGGTGGTGGCCAGAGGTGGAAATGAAGTCAAGACAGTGTTTTCTTCTTTTCAAGGAAAAAAACAGTATGCTTATATATTGGGGAGAATGCCCCAGCAGAGCGGAAAGATCTAAGGATGAGGGAAAGGGGAAAATTATTGTCGCACGGTACCTGGGCCGGTGTGTGTTTCTGAAGGATGCCGTAGCAAGTCGCCCCACACTTGGTGGCTTAAAACCACAGCATTTATTCTCTCACAATTCTGGAAGCCAGAAACCTGCAACTGAAGTGTTGGCAGAGATGCTCTCCCTCTGGGATCTTGCTTGTATCTGGGGGAAATGTTGAACCCCTGGAGTTTTGCATAGAGGAGGGACAGGAGATTACTCACACTGGGGGGGGGGGTGCTGGGGGTGGAGCCCAGGGCTTCACACACATTCCTCTCTGAGCCACACCTCTGCATTACTCAGATTTTACACCATCATTGGCTGCTGTGGAGCTGTGGAGGAAAAAAATCCATTCCTTGCGTCTTTGCCTTCTGGTGACCACTGGCTTCCCTTGACCGTGGCCACATCTCTCTGCTCTGTGTTCATATCACCTGTTTCTCTGGGTCTCTCCTCTTCTGCCTGTCTTCAGTTTCCTTCTGCCTTTCTCTTGTTAGGCTACTGTCATTATCCCAGATAATCTAGGATAATCTCATTAACTAAGATCGTTAACTTAATTACATTTGCAAAGTCTTCTTCCAAACAAGGTCACATAAATGGTTCCGGGCAGCAGGACGCTTTGGGGCCACCAGTCAGCCCGAGGGAGCAGTTTACAAGGAATGGGGCCTGATTCACACGGGGCGAGCCGGCTTTTGGTGGGAGCAGGGACAATTGGTCCACAGAGGTTTGGTCCAGGTGCAGGCTGCAGAGTAGCAATAGTGGTGGAGAACGCGGAGGTTCTCTTGCTGCTTCCATTTCCTCATGGAGATGAGAGAAAGGGCCATGGCAGAGAGTGGAGATGTGACGGACTTGGAACCTTGGGGGGAAAGGGTAACTGCTGTGGTCATCCTGGAGCTGCGAGAGTGGGTGGGCAGGAGAAGGACGAGCTGTGAGCAGTGTTGAAGCCCACCTCAAAGCGAGACTCCTCAGCCTGGCCACAGTCAGTGCCCATATGCAGGGCAGGAGGGGCAGAAAGTAGATTCTGTGCAGCCTGTTTTGCAGCTCTGAGGAAGAGAGTGTGGAAGGAGGGAGTGTGCAAGAAAGTGATTATCACAATTGACCATGGAGCCTAGACAGGCTGGGTGTAGCCTGTAATACCTGCACTCTGGGAAGCTGCACTCTGGGAAGCTGAGGCAGGAAGATCACAAGTTTGAGCCAAGCCTGGGCAATTTAGAAAATTGAAAAAGAACAAAAGAGAACAGAGAGGGTTTGAGGAGGATGGGAGGAGTGGAAAGCGGCAGGCTTAGTGGATTGCAGGCCCTGAAAGCACCAGGCTGTGGAGACAGAAGACCAGCAGGAGTGAGCTCAGAAGCCAGGGGGTGATGGTTACAAGTTGGGAGTGCAGAACCGGACCGCGGAGGAGCTGCAGGCGTGGCGGGGTCTTGCCTGGAGCCTGGGGGAACGGTGTTTAGGTGAGGCATGACATCCACCCGTGTTCACTGGGGACGTGGGTGGTGGAGGCACGGGGTGGCAGGGAGCTGACAGACGAGTAAACAGGCAACTCTGACCCTGTTCAAGCTGACAGCCCCGGGGGCGGGCAGGAAGGCCCCGGTGGGTATGATGGTCCCTCGGGCAGGGTGTGTGGCTGCCCAGAGGAGGAACCCCCACGAGACCTGCAGGCCGAGCAGCTCAGCAGAGAAGAGCGGCACAGGGCAGACGGCGCTGTGCATGGAGCTACCTGCAGGCATGGAGGGCCCGGAGCTGGAGCTGGCACCTGCTGCTCTTCGTGCTCTCTGCCGCTGATTTTGCCAGAATGTGAAACAGGGACACTTCGCTCCTTCGGCAATCTAGCAGTTGAGGCACCATTAGTTTCACGTCAGACATCACGGTGGCTGGAGCTCAGTGGGAGGGGAAGGCAGCTCCGCACCGCCCTTCCCCCAGCCGTTTCCCCTGGGTGCTGTTCCCGCCCAGCCTCAGGGACCTCTGAGTCTGGGGCCAGGGCTCAGGGTGCTGGGCAGACCTGCGGTGGGGGTGAGCAGGCTGCAGGGTGAAGGGCCTGGCTGTCCTCCGTGGCTGGGAACGCGTCCGGTGCATTTGAAGGAGGTGGATGGACTGGGGCACAAGACCAAGACCAGCTGCCAAAAGGCAATAGGGCCGGGCTGGGGTCCCCTCCAGTGGCAGAGCGCTCACTGAGCGTGCTTGTAACCCCTATTCCATCCCCAGCACTGCAAAAAAAGAAAAAAGAAAAAGAAAAAAGCAACTGGTATTAATATCTTGTTCTAATTCTAAGGAGTGTTACAAATATTTTTCTAATTCCTAAGGCGCCCATGGGCAACTGGTCCTCATTGTAAACACAAGGCTTCATGTCCTAACCCCAGACTCTCCCTCCAGCTCCGTTCTGCTCCCTTCCCGGAGGCGGCGAGGCAGAAGGGAGGAGCTGCGTGGGCCGTGGGGTTTGTCCACAGCATGGGACTCTGTGTAAGCTAATCCCCTCTACTTATCTGTCAGCTGTGGACTGGAACAGCTCCCCACGTGGCCGTGGGAGGATCCAGGGTGATGTCATATGGGACTTGGTGCAGGCACGTGCCCCATAAACGTCAGATTAAACCCAGACACTCTTTTCCCAGTATTGCGCCATGGCTGTCAGGTGACCTCTGCTCGCTTTTGGGAAGGGGCGAGCTCTTCTGGGCATGCCCCTCCGTGTGCAGGGTGGGTGGAGGTGGGCACCCTGCCACCACGTCCTGAGGCTGTCCTTGTAATCATCACTGGGTTCCTTACACCTCTATTAAGTGAGGGAAAACATTTCCCCTCTCTGTCCCCACAGAGCAAGAGTAAGGTGTTCTGAGAACTACGGATCTGATGAACCTTCAGTCGCCTGCCCTCCACTCTAGTAGCCGTGAGGTGGGGGGAGCATGTGGCAGCTTTCAGGTGACACAGTAGCAGTGGGGCGCCGGCACCGGGCTGGTCTTCCTCCCAGCCTCTGCCACCTCTGCTGTCAGTGAGCATCAGCTCCAGCTGGTCCTGCACAAAGCGGTGAGAGGAGGGCTTAGAAATGTGGATTTGACCCTGTTACTCCATACCTGAAACCCACATTCCCTAAAACCCGGGTGGTGGCCCAGGGCTGCCTTGCCCCTCCCTCTCTCCCCTGGGCCTCTCCCTCCACCCGCCCCCATGCTGGCCCTGTCCCTCCCTGGGTCTCCATGTGAGTGTGATCTCCTCAGACAGCTCCCTGGCCAATTATCACTTCTGATGCCCATGTCCTTATCCTTAGGGTGCTCCCCATGAGCTCACTGAGCCTGTGTGTATCCCCGTCGGACTTCTCTCCTGGACCAGAAGATCCGGGCAGAAATGCATCTGTTTTGTTCTCTAGTCTATCTGCCTGGCCCCACCCCACATCCGCTGCAAGCAGGCACGCACTTGCAAAGTACTGCTAAAGAATAACTTAGGCACCTCCTTACTTTTTCTTTTTAAAGACAGGGTCTCACTATGTTGCCCAAGCTGCTCTTGAGCTGCTGGATTCAAGTGATCCTCCTGCCTCAGCCTCCCAAGCACTGGAACCACAGGCTGGCGGCACCCCACCTGGGTGCACCTACCTTTTATATTTGACCTAAACTAGTATTTTAGTTTAGGTCTGCTGACTGGGCACCTTCTATGGACCAGGCACTGTTTTTGGTGCTGGAAATGCAGCAATGAATAAACAATGAAAAATCCTGGGCTACAGGATGCTTTCTCACTGGTGAGTCAGGAATCTGTTATGTCTGCTCTGAGTCACATCCTAGTTGACTGAATTTGTTCTGCATCCACTTGACCAATGGGAGACAGGATCCTGACGCAGGAGACAGGACCACAGCCTTCTACCTGGTTCCCCAGAGGAGCGGAGCCCCAGCTCTCCAAGGGTTTGTGCACTCTCTCTCTTTCTTTTTTCTGTCTCTCTTTCTCTCTCTCTCCCTCTCCCTCTGCCACATGCTTTCTGCTCCTGACCCCTTTTTCCACCCCCGTTATATGGAGCCACTTCCCAAAAGAATCTCTCCAGCTGTCAGTTCTTGCCAGTCCTTCTCCACTGCTGCTTCCGGGGGAACCAAGCTGACCCAGTGGGCATTTCAACTCCTTCTGTCATTTATTTCTGTATGTCTTGCTTGGTGCTGCTGTCTTCTAGCTTCTTCAGTGACTCAGATCAGATAGTATTTGTTGTATTTTCCCTCAGTCGCAAACTCAGGGCGTGGCAAATGTCAAAGGCGCGTGTTGGCTTCGACCTGATCTCAGCACAGTAGGACTGCAGTGCTGTCTGTGGCCCACAGGAAGCCAGAGTGCAGACTCTGCCCGTCGGAAGTGGGATGGAGCTGGGCCCATGGTCTGAGGACTCTCCTCCGTGTGCCCAGCTGACTTCTGTATCCCAGCGTCAGCCGCTGCTCAGGTGGCTCCGGGCTCAGAGTGGCCCCCACTGGTCTGTTCCCTGTAGGGGGCTCCGCCTGCCACCTGCTCCCCGCTCCTCAGTGGGACTTGTGGTCCTTTGTCTGCTGCTGGCGCTGGGAACCAGATGTCAGGGCCTGTGCCTGCAAGGCCACAGCCAGGGGCTCCACCGATCAAGCAACTTCACAATTCTGCGCCAACCTCGACCGAATCTTGTGGACGCGCGAAGTGACAGGCAGCTGGCAAAGGTGCAAAGGTCATCCAGCACCCGACGAAGCTGCAGTTTTGGGGTCACCAAGAACAGGGTGCTTCTGACACCATGGATCCCTTTTCTCTTTAAGGCTTCCAGAAAGTGGGAAGGTGGGACTATGGGCCCTGGTCCTCTTAAATGACAGAGCAGGGAGGAGCCGGGTCCATCTACTACACTCTAGCTGGCCTCCTCCGTTAGCAGCCTCGAGGTTTGTCACGGTACCATGTCCCGTCTAAGTCCTCGGAGATTGCTCCGCCTATCTGCTGTCACCCCTTCCCAGGTGCCCACACACCTGGCAAATATCTGATGATTTTTTTGGTAACAGAAATTTTGACATACTGCAGATTCACATTCAGTCTTAAGAAATGATGCATCGCTGGGTGTGGTGGTACACGCCTGTAATCCCAGCACTCAGGAGGCTGGGGCAGGAGGATCACCATGAGTTTGAGGCCAGCCTGAACTGCACAATGAGACCCTGTCTCAAAAAAAAAAAAAAAAGATGCATCATGTAGTCTTCCTGGTTGCAGTTTTTGAAGCCTTACTACAATGTCACAGTAGGTTACTGACATGAGTAGTCACCTCCCTTACTCAGATCTTCCAATTGTCTTGTACCCAGGAAAGTTCTGTGCACTTTTATCACTTCACCACAATTAGGATACTTAGTCCTCAAACCACAGGATCCCTTTCCTCTTATACTCACTGCTACATTCCTCCTACCCCACCTCAGCCTGCACCTGATGCTATTTCAAAATCATTTTACTTAGAAATAAATCCAGACTTGCAGAAATATTCTAGTGCTCCTCATACCAAGGTCACTAATACTATTTTGCCTGTTGCTGTGTCATTCTTTGCTATCAATGTCTATTTTTCCCCCTAAATCACTTGAAGGTAAGTTGCCCCTTTACCTCTGTGGTGCATGTTTCCTAAGAACAGAAATATCCTCATGCACAAGTGCACTACAAATTATCAACATCAGTGAATTTAACATTGATTCTATGCTTTCATCCACTACGTGGATTCTGATGTTTTTCAACTGGAATGTCCCCTCCCCTTCACAGCCAGCTAGGATCAGTTGTCATGGCTCTTGGCCTCTACTCTGGGACATTTCCCACGCCTCCTTTTGTCTGTGACCCTGAGATTTTGGGAGAAAACTCCCCTGCTCCTTCTAGTGGGTGCTCCTTGTTGTGGGTATTTCTGAGGTTCTGTCCCTGTCAGATCCAGGCGGTGCGTTCCCCGGGGGTCCTGGTCACTGGGCCAGCGCTGCCCACCTGCCCTTCGTTGTGGTCCTATTTGCCCCTTGTTACTAGCAAGCAAAGCCTGTCGGGAGCCAGGTGCCCCGGCCAGTACCAAGGCCCGGCGGACCCCGGCGCTGCCGTCCATCTGATCCCTGCAGCACCGTTTTCACCGCTGGCCAATCGCGCGCCCTTCTCAGGCCGGGTTTCCAGAGTCTCGGTCTCCTCCCCGCGCCCTCTGGGCCGACGCCAGGCAGGGGAGGCAGCCTTGGCCGCCCCAAGAGGAGCGCAAGGGCGCTGGGCCCCGCAGGGCTGCGTGGGCTGCTCCCGGGCCCTGTCCGCTACGCCTGTCGCCCTCACCCCTTGGCGGCCTTTCCTTCAGATTGCCCGACCCTGTCCCCCATCCAGGCGGGGGTGAGGCCTGAGGACCCGCCCCGGGTCCGTGCTGAGGGGCTCTCGGGACGGTGAGGCTTTCCAGACTCGCCCTTCCCGGACCAAGCGCAGGGAGGGCTCCGAGGGCGGAGGGCGTCGTGGAGGCGGCGGCCCTCCGGAGGCGAGTGGGCGTGGCCTGGAGGGGCGTGGCCGGGCGGAGCGCGACCGGCG